CCCCCACCCCCCGCCCGGTTCGCCCCCAAGAAGAGTCCGTGCCAGGCTGGGGTGCGAGTTTATTAGTGCCGGGGAAGGGTCGGGCGGCCCGTCCTGGCTCCCGCGCTGTCGGTTCCCTCTTCACCGGCGCTGGTTGAGCCCCGTCAGGTTCTTGATCTGTGGGGCGGAGGGAGAAGGGCGTTAAGGGGGAGGGGCCGCCCTCCCCCGAGGCCTTCGCCCAGCCCTGGGGGGCGGTTCGGCGCCGCGGGAGAGGCAGAGGGGATGGAGAGGGAAGGGGGTGCGAAAGGCACCACGGTGGTCGGGGGCGGGGGGGTAAGGGCCGGGAAAGACGGCCCTCGACCCAGCCACAGGCCCCCCCCCCCAGGACCTGCTCTCCAGGGGAGCAGGGCTCAGCCTGGGTTTGATTCCTGTGGCCGCACACGCCCTGACAGTGAACTGAAGCCTTTGAGGCGCTCAGCTGGCTCGTCTCCTCTGCAGATGAGAGCTCAGCACCCCCGTGCAGCGGCGGCACCCCCGGACTTAGGCACGTGGACTGGTTGCCCCCCATAGTTAATGTACCGAGATGATTTTGCCCCAAAACCGGTTGGCTGGAACCCACCCCAGTCTAGTTCCTCCTGTTTATCTGCGCAGTGGATGTGCTGCGCGGACGGGCTAAACATCGGCTGAGGGGAGATATGTGGGATGCAAAGCACAGGGATGCAATCGGGGTGAGGGACAGGAGCACAAAGAGAGCAGGGGGGGGTTCACTGTGGGAAGATCCTTTAGGCTTCTGCAGGTGTGAAAGCAGAGAGAGGCTGAGAAACAAGAGAGATGGGAAACGATTCCACCATAACTGCAGGGGGAAGGGGAGGTGGGAAAAATTCTTGAGAGGTGCTCTGTACAGTAAAAATGATTTCTAATTTCTGTTCCGGCCTGTTTGTCTTGTACTGGTAAGCACACCGAAAATGTATTTCTGATAACAAGGAAATCACTTTGCTGCTAAGTGCAATGGGAATTGTCCAAAAATAGAATCACAGGGAGGCCCTGGAGCCCTTCAAAAATCATTCCCGGGTACACGAAGGATTGTTTCCTATCCCAGAGGAGGTGCAGCTCCCCCTGCGTGGACACAAAGCAGGCCAGGATGCGACCAAGAAGCGAATGAATTCTTGGAAGGACACTGCAGTCAACTGAAACAGCTTGAGGAAGTCACCCTGCTGTGGCTCAGGGACAAGTGCCACCTCCCACACATCCACAGGCACACGGACCTTCCGTCAAGATCTCCAGTGCAGGGACTAGCAGAGGAAAAGCTCTCGTGACAAGCGACAGAGAGCCTTTGTTTTAATTTTGATGGCCCGTCTCTCATCCCTAAAGCTCACCCTGCAGCTTTGGACTTAATTTTTTACTCTCTGCTACAAGTTCTTTCACCACAAAACACTGAACTAACCCCAGACTACCCAGAAAATCATATTTCCGCGCAGTTAAGTTAGGAAAGACAATTCTTTTTCATGCTGTCCTCTAGATTTGGGAGGAAAAGCATGCTGACATTCCGCATGGAAGGGAACAGACACAATTCTGCCCTTACAGCCCTGCTGGTTTCAGCATTACTTACAGTGACTGCAGCTCCCATAAGGCCCTGGACAACTGCTTCTCCGGTTGACTGTACCTATGAGACACAAGGAGAACATAACCTTTTGCTTTCTTCTGCAGTTATGCTTGTGGCCACCCTAACACAGAAACGTACTGCACCACAAACATGTATTTGCTACAGAAAGGTGCTGACAGACGCCAAGCACTGCAGACAAATGATAGTCAGCGATAAGAAACATGGACGAGATTTCCTGGGAATGTATGTCACCCAACCATTGGGCCAGTCTGACAAAGAGAGTGCCTACATGTCATTTTACTAGAAAATATGTAAGCATTTATTGATGTTAAACCGATGGCACTTATGCAATCACCCGCCAGTACAAGGTGGTCCCGCAGCAGACACGTGCTCTGCATGATTGAAAAGCCAGGTCTGTTTGCATGTGTATTTGGGGAGAAGGGGGATGCTGCATGAAGGACATGGACCTGTTGGAGCGGGTCCAGAGGAGGCCACAAAGATGCTGCGAGGGCTGGAGCCCCTCTGCTGGGAGGACAGGCTGGGAGAGTTGGGGGGGGTTCAGCCTGGAGAAGAGAAGGGGAAAAAGGGGAGACCTCAGAGCCCCTTCCAGTGCCTAAAGGGGCTCCAGGAGAGCTGGGGAGGGACTCTGGATCAGGGAGGGGAGCAATAGGACGAGGGGTAATGGTTTTAAATGGAAAGAAGGGAGATGTAGATGAGATATGAGGAAGAACTTCTTTGCTGTGAGGATGGTGAGCCCCTGGCACAGGTTGCCCAGAGAAGCTGTGGCTGTCCCATCCCTGGAGGGGTTCAAGGCCAGGTTGGACGGGACTTGGAGCAACCTGGGCTGGTGGGAGGTGTCCCTGCCCAGGGCAGTGGGGGTTGGAATGAGAGGATCCTTAAGGTCCCTTCCAACCTGAACCATTCTGTAATTCTACATATACCTTGCCCATAATGTTACCTGATCAGCTGTATTGCCCATGTTCGTGGCATCAGCTACTCTGTTTTCCAGGAAGCGCCAAGTCTCCTCGAAGTCAGGGGATGAATCCTGCATCATCACCAGTTCGGTGGTGTTGTAGATGCCAGTGAGCACAGCCCGACGAGTGTACCAGTTAAACTGCAAGGGCATGAAATGAGAGAGGGAGAAAAAGGTGTGACCTGAATGCAGATCACAAAAGCGGACCGGAGAAGCACTGGAAAATAGCACACCAACAGCACATTCCTTCCCCACTTAAACTGTGTAACTCGTCTCCATGTGGGTCGCCAGCCAACACCAACATCTGACAGCACAGCTGCTCCTGTGGCACCAGACAGAGGTCACAAGTACAGCGACTAAAACTGAACAAAATCCCCACCACCTGCTTCTGGTTGCAAGCAGGCACCTGCAGTAGACAGCAAGGAATTCTGCCCAGCTAGCCTGCACGGATGGAGCAAGAGTTCATCTTTGCTTTACAGACTGCTAGCAGGAAACACAAAGCTCCGATTCTAGATCTGAATAGATGAGAAATGGCTATATTTAGGACTGATACTTGAGCTGTGGTTTGCACCAGATACAAGCATGAAGAAAGGGAACGAACAGACGACAGAACTGTGCAAGCCAGCACACACCAAATCCTGTCACTGAAATACCGGTACTGCCTACTGAATCACTAAATGCACCAGTACACTGCTGGCATCAATGCTGTAGGATGCATTACAACAATAGGTTACACAATGCAAAGATGCACAAATAACTCAAACTCTTCTTTTTTTCCAGTTGCACTTGCACCACTGGCAGACAAAATACATAAATATTTTCAAAAATGAGTCTTCAACTTTGTTTGCTGCTATTACCTAGAAAAAATACTGGTTGTTCCTTTCACCATTCCAAAGCAACAGAGAAATGACAACACTGGTCTTTATTTTGAAAACAACAGTTGGCTCCAAAGCTCTACTGTCTGCACCAGGACCTGCACGCTCTCATGAGGGGAGTAACATGAGGAATGCTGCCACTTGCAGCAGGACCTCTCAGGTGCCTCTTTGTATTGATTCTCCTCCTGCTCTGCAAAAAAATCCCACACCTAAAGGAGACTCTGAGGCATGGGCACACCCTGCCAAGTTGCTGGCACTGCGAAGAGGGCTGCGCTGCGTGTAACGTTAAACCCCTTTACTGGGAAAGAGGGAGAGGGCTCAGCATCACAGCTTCCCAAGAAAACTCTTGTAACTGGTCAGAAGGTGCAAACAAAAGACAAACTTTAGAACCTTTCCTACTCTGTGTTGGTGAGGAGACTTTAGGGACAGCTCAGTGCAGACACCGACTCTTGACGCGTTGACTTGACTTTCATAACCCGTAAGGGACTTGCAGTTCCTGATGCAATCACAGTCCTTCAGTTCTCTTCTGGTTTATTCCTTTAATTTTTCTGTCATCTTACTTATTTTTCACTGTGGTAGCTCACCTTTTATACTCAGATAAAAGAAGCTTATTAAAGTAGTTTGTTAAAATGGTTCATTTAGCTTTTCCCATCTGTCCCTACATCTATACGAATTGCAGTAATTTATTAATTGCTTTAATTAAGGTTATAATTTTCTTTTATTTCCTGCCAGAAAGATGAAAGCTTTAATAAGCTACTGGTATTTTTAGGTAGGTTCTTTAAAGGTTTTCAAGTCAAATCTGTAAATGCTACTGCTGGTGGAAGAGACAGCTGCCTCAACAGAGACACGCTGCTCGCTCACTGAATACTGGAGCAACTTCTCAGTCTCAAAATCTCAACAATTTTGTCTGTGTCTTCAAAATAAAAAAGAACACTTAAAACAGCCTAGGAAAGTAGGTCCTTTTAATTTGCACTCATCCCATTGGCACTAATTTGGATTTAGTCCCCTTGACTCCTAAGTCTCTTTGGAAATTAGACCGCAGCTTTTATAAGACCCTTGGGTGCTTCTGAAAATGTCTTCAACAAAAGGCTCATTTCAAGAGAGATGTGGCCTGACGCCTACTTCAACCCGTCATTTTGCTGAAGTGCCGAGGGGTAGAACCAGCCGGTCTGCAAGGCACAAAGACTTACGTCTGTGGACTGGTCTCCAGCATAGTGCCATATATCATCGATCATGCTAGTGAGGAGGTTGAGGCTGGAAGGGATGTTATGTGGGAGCAACAGGATGCTCAGAGCCTGTGAAGGAAACACAGATAAATGGGAGAGTGGAAGAGAGAAGGACATAGCATTAAAGTGGACCAACAATGCTCTGCTCTGTTATCTTTTCCCTGTTGCTGTTGACTTGCCTCCACCTCCCAGTGACAAGTCCTCCCAGCTCTTTTCAGCTAGCACTGGACTTTCCAAGCGGCAGGATTTGCAGGGAATGTACAGTGTGGCAGCCGAGCTCAGGCCTTGGCCCATACTGGAGCCCAAAGCTCTCTGCTCAGCTCAAATGCCACTGTGTTGTCTCTCCGGAGCTGCCTCTCCAGGCACAGAAACACAGCACAGGCTGAGCTGACTCACACTTGTGCTGTGCCCCTACGGGCAGGGAGTCAAACCTCTCCTTTCTCTCAATTTGACTTTGAAGTCAAAGCAGCTACCAAGGGCACAATCACCAGCCGTAAAGGCCCTACTGGGATCCTGCAGCCTTTGAAAATAATAACACCATGCCAGGAGAGTCACAAACCACCCACATTCTTCACAAGACAAGTTATGCTAATCTGGAACAAAAACATGAATCCTGTCTTCTTTCTCTGCAAGGAGCACTGGATTCAGCTGCCCAGAGGCCAGCAGTGATTCTGGACAACAGAGGCTGACGTTGCAGCAATCTTTGCAGCCCAAAAAACCTCTTCGCTTATTACCGAGGCCACAATTCAACTCCCTTCCCACCCTGGTAAGAAAGGCTTGAGACTTAAATCTGAATTTGGAAGCACAAAGCCCTCTCAGTTCACAGATCCATCCTCAGGTTGCCAAGGGTTTGTCATTCGCACACTAGGCAGGCGGCTTCTTGCAACAAAGCAGTAGTTCTGCATTTCCAGGCATCAGATGATACCAGTGCAACTGGAACAATGCTGCAAGGAGCCTGACTTGCAGTGAGACTGCAAATAGGGCTGAGCAGAGACACAGATTATCCCCTGGGGATCCCAGAGGGGTGGAGTAAATGATGGAGGTTTGCCTTTCTGGAACTGCAAGAAATAGTTGTTCTAAGGACACCTTTAACTGCCTGCTTCCAAGGGTGTTCTACTCTTGAAGGGTATGAATCATTTGAAACCAAGGGAGGGTTTCGTTTACAACCTTGAACTATTCTGGTGGGGAGACTATGCTGAAAGCCACAGTGTTTAAAATACACACAAGAAAAGAGACCATCTTGATAATTTGTTTTATACCTGGGGCCATTTCTCAATATATGGAATCAACATCCTCAGTCTGGCTTCCACGGCATCTCTCAGGAATTGATCTGTAGGCTTCTTCCTGGGTGAGGAAAACAAAATACAAACATGAAGAACATCCAAGTTAAACTCAAATCTGAACTTGAAAGATCGATCTCTTGCCTGCCTCAGCAATGGACAGGCAAAGTATTATGTATACTTCATGCCTCTGGTCCAACCCTGTATCTGGGAAGGTGGTTTTATTTGGGTAAATTACATTTTTTACGTAAAGTATCTGTGTCCCAAGTGGCCTCTCTGTCTATCCAGTCCACAAAGGCTGCCAAAGAAGATGTCTTTTCATACCCAATACTCACTCTGCTTCGCCCAGCTGCACTAGTTTTTGTTCCTGCTCCAGCAGCTCAGACAGTTTGGTGTTGCACTGAGACACAAAGTGCAGGATCAGTTCACTGCCATCACTGTGAAACATCCCTGCGGCAGCAACAGAGAGACCCAGGGTCTGCAGGGAAGAAGGGAGAAGCACAGACCGGGTCACACACTGCTAAGCAGGGTCCAGCTAGGAAACATGTTGTATTTATTTTGTGAACAAAGTTATATGAATTTAAACAAAGCAACACTGCATTGAAAACCTCTTCCTGTAGATGTTTTCCTCTCTTTAGGATTACTACTCTACACCGTGCCTTAGTTTAAATCTGACAGGGTAATCCTGTAGTAGCTGGGACTCATTCCTGCCCAGTACCATTTGCTGACTAGGGTGCATCACCCAAGAGTATGTGGGGGAAGCATGCAGGCCTGGCTGTCTTTGGACCTCAGCTCCATCCAGTTTTCAACTGGTTCTTTGCTTCTCTCCCCACATACCTTGGCTCCCTCTGCAATGGCTTCTGCAGTCCAGCCATGTTCAGGCACAAACTCCAGCGCTGCTGTGAGGATTCGATGCTGCAGCTGCTCCTCGCTCTCATAGTCCTCAGACTCCTGGCCGCCCTGGCCAGTGTAACTATGAGAAGGTATTGTTACAGTGAGGGGAACATCACCATCAAACACCAGCAACCTGGACTCTGCTACTCACTCGCTGCCACCGCTGCCTGCAGGCACGCTTTTGAGATCTGCTTTGTATAAATCTCACCTCCTCCTGTAAAATCCTTCCTTTTCCAGAAAAAGGATTCTTAACTAACCTTTGCCACAAGAGGAGAAGAGAAAAATAAGGGAGGGCTCAATCTAGGTGCCTGCCTGGAGACCAGTCAGCCTCTGATTCCCCCTCCTTTAAAAAAAAGCTTTTCCAATGGGGGCTTTATAGTTATAGGCATGTGGACAACATATTGTCCATATTTTGTGTAGATTTACACAAAAATCAAGAAGTGAAGGCTTGCACTTTGCAGACCAGAGAGGTTCCCTCTTGAAAACAAGTCCCATCCTGTCTCCACGTCAGGCAGGGGTATTTGCACTGTCACAGCAAACCAGCTCTCCAGCTGCTGCAGTCTCTCTCCAGGCTCCATTAACTCTGGATCTTGTTGTCTCCAAGTTTCAGATGCAAGTTTCGGGAAAGCAAAGCCTTTTGATCCCACTGTCGGCAGGACAGCGCTAGAAATAGCTAAGAAGTTACCTGGGGCGAGGGCCCTGAGGTTGCTGTTCAGGCTGGTGATCAGCTGGATGTGAATCGAACTGCTGCTGAGAGGAAGACCCCAATGGCTCCTTCAGCTCGTCGGAGACTCTCCTCAGCACGGCCGATGCCTGGAGAGCACGCTGTGGTGGGGCGAGCTGGCACCTGACCACTAAAAGGGAAACCAAGAGAGTCAGATGTCTCCTTCCAACAAGGGGAAGCACCAAAAATTAAGGTGAAGAAGAGACTTGCCGTAAACACAGCTGAAAAGAACAGAAATTTGTACAGACAGTCTTTTTTTATGCTTCTGAGTAGCATCCGTCTCAGCTGAGCTCACATTGACTTGATGAAAATCAAGTGAAAATGTTTTGTGCGGGTAAGAACTGCGCAGATGGCACGTATTGCAAATAGAAAGGAGTTTCCCCATCTCTGACTGGAAACCAGGCACACAAGCATGCACTGACACCCCTGCAGCACACCCTCTCTCCTTTTCACTCCCTGATGAAGGAGAGGAGGTAGAGGAAGGCCTGAGCTCAGGGCAGGAGGCGAGTAATACTCAGGAGAGCAAGGAATCTGAAGAGATACAACACGCTGATCACGACGCGTGTTTCTCAGATGACTCAAAGGCAACGCAGTTTTCAATTACAGCTACTCCGTGAGAATTTTTCATTTAACCACCGTGAGGTTTGGGGTGGATTTTTTTTTTTTTTTTAAATAAGCTAGGCTCACATGGCCCACACTTAAAAAACACCAACAACCCCAAATTTCCCCCACCGCTTCCCTCGCACGCTGCCTGGGGCAGGGAGGCATGAGGGGCTCTCCTCACACCAGGCCCCACGCAACCTCCTTCACCCACCCACTGAGGCTCCCCAGAGAGACCCTTCGCATCCCTCTGGCCTCCCAGCCTGCAACCAGTGGCATCAGGCAGGCCTCGACCCGGCTTCACGGCCTTGGGGCCTGCCCGAGGCCGGGCCCCGGCGCAGGCCCAAGGCCGTGAAGCCGGGTCGAGGCCTGCAACCCGGTGTCGCCCACTAGCGGCGCCCCACTTCTGCCCTTCACCTCACCTTCCTTCACCTCACCTTCCCTCGCCCCACCGGGCCCAGCCCGGCCCCGTCCC